AATGTTATGTATTTGCATAGTTTACAAAATCATTCGATCACGATCTCACTGATTACATTCATGCCAAACCAATTGTCAGTGATTACAAAATATTTTATATCAATAAATAATAATTTAATAAAAAAAAAAAATAGAAAAGGCATATGAAGATAAAATTTATAAAGTCAGAATATAGTGAAGAATGAAAGATTTCTCTTTCAAGAATTATTTTGGCAAATTGCCTCTGTTGAAGTCGTTGGTGCAATTTACGCTTCACGATACTAGTTTCGGAACATAATTTCTTTTCCCTCAATATGTTGCGACTGTATGTGTTTATTGGAATTATAGGCGAGATTCACTATCAGGTAGCAGTTACAAATCTGCTAATCATGGATCATTTTTTACTATCTTAAAAATATTGACATTAATTGGAATCATTAAATATTAATTTTTCATTAATAATTACAATAAAAACAATTGAAAATAAAAATTTTATAATTATGGCAGAAAAGTTAAATATTTTAGAGTTGTTAATTAAGAAATGATAATTCATAAAGTATCCCCAAAAGAATTTGATCCTGATTTTATATACTTCATTTAAAAATTAAAAATTTATGATTAATTTTTAATAACAATACATATAATAAAACTTTAGCTTATCGTTTAATCTAATGACGTATATATTTTTTTAATTATTGAAATATTATACGATAATATTCAACGTTAATTGTATAAGTAAATAATTTTGTCATCACATAAAATAATGTCATTCATAATTAGTATAATATATTACGTAAGTATGTTCATATGCGAATGTAAGTTTATTAATCCAATTATAAAATAAGCCTTCTAAAAGCAATATATACAATAATATATAACTGCTGTTTTATAATTTTAAATGGATATATGATTATCTTAAAATAAAAGATCTTTAACAAAAAAAATTCTTTAAATTTCATTGAAAATTGAAGTTTATTAAAATATTCTTTTATAATAATTAAATTTCCGTTAATGTGCTTTCTATTTTACAAAAATATCTAATAAATTCGTTTCTTTAATCTATTAAAGAATTCATTAAAATAAGAAATTTATTTAGACAAATGTGGTAGATAGAAAGGATAAAAGGTAAACAGTAATCGATCTAGAGTTTAGTAACGCAGGCTTTCAAAATTCTATTTTGTTTTTGCTTATTAATATCACATTCTCATCTTCTGCATTGTTAAAGTGACTGCAATCTTCCTCTCCCCCCCTCTCTCTCTCACTCTCACTCACTCACTCACTCACTCTCTCTCTCTCTCTCTCTCTCGTCTTCATGATCTTCTTCAACTTGTTCTTTGATTTTTTCTTCTTATTACTCCACGCATGACGTCAGAAATTTATTTTGAGAAATGTTGGACGCACCAATATCTTTAGAACGGCAATCGTCGTCGCATGATCCGCCCCCGTGTATACACCTACCGTCTTTATTCTTCCCGCGCAATTAAAATAAATGTTGTGACAATTTTAACACTTTTTGAGGACAAGAAAATGAAAAATGGATTGATGAACAATAATTAGAATCTAGCAGAAAATAATCAATTTTAGATATTATTTTTTTATTTTTTATTTAGATTATCTTTAGTTTTATCGATCATTTTTTATCATTAATTGCCATATTACGAATAAGCTTATGAAACAGTTTACCACTCTTTTTAAAATATTATAAAGCATCTTATGAATTAAACATTCAAATATGGTCAATGGCTTTTTTTTTTTTTTGTAATCTATACATAATTGTTCCAACACCTATCTATAAAAATTTAATGATTATAATAAATAAACATATATTCTAATAATTACTTATAATATACACAATATTAGAATGTATATTAAAATATATTGACCCTGATAAATTTATCAGAAATTTTCAATGACATTGTTGAATAATATTTGTGATAAATATTTTCTTGATAAAAATTTATATAAAATGTTTTTGTAACACAAAAACAATAAAATGTATTTGAAAACATTTTAATATATGCATAATTAAATTAATAAAATTTATATAATTTTATATAATTTTTTACTAAAATTACCTGCATTATTTTATATAATATTCAATTTACACGATTTCTTTAAATTTAATAATTTTAATAATTTTACACATTTGTCTTAATTAAGCTTTATATTTTATTAAAATAGAAAACAATAATAATATTAATATGCAACGGCTTTGACAGCAAATGGAATGAAAATTAATGAAAATTTGTAATAATAACTACTAACCAAGTGTTCTTTAACAATAGAAAAGAAGATTATAAATCAATACCGATTGCATGAATATCAGGGATTATTTGACATAGTAGTTGAACTCCGCCGATTTTATCATGAATTTTAATGACTGTATAACAATAAAAAGGCAGTTATTTAATAAAATACATTGTTATTTATTTATCTATAGCTTTTAAATTAATAGTATTTACTTTACCAATAGTTTTAATTATTTATGGTCTTTGATGCATTGAGTTTGTGCATGTACGAGCGACAAATCCGAACGATACGTAGTATATATTTTTAGCTTCTGTAGAAGATCTCCGTACGTAACACTGTTTTGAAAATAAAATTTACGAAGACAAATTTTTTCTTATTTTAAGGTTTTATCATCATGTTTGCATTAATTTTACTAGAACTATATTATGTAACTTAAAAAACATCGTGGCAAAGGCCAAATACGAATAAGTAAAAAGATACTTTTTAAACTTGAATAAATTGCATTTGTACGTCGAAAAATTAGAAAATGGAACTATGTATTATCCTCATCTCCACTAAATCAAAATCAGATATTAATATCTTATTTAATGTGCTTAGTGAAATCTTTAGTTCCTTATACTTAATTAATTGATAGGAAAAAATGGAAATTTTTAATGTAGATTCACGCTATACGTTATTTGTAAGTTAAATATATATTAAATAAAAAACAACGATTAAATTATTATAAATAAAAACTATATTATAAATAAAAATGTGGTCATGCATAATGAAAAAATTACCTTATTTACTAGTACAATGGTAGATAAAAGTTAAAATTGTTAATATATTGTTACATAATTTTTACAAATTGTTTTATCAATTATTTTAATATTTAACATTATTTTGAATACTTATTAATTATTTATGGATTCTAAAAGAATTTTATGTTCATTGTATACTTACGTTTAACAAAAATAATTTAAAGTAAATTTTTCAAACGAAAAGATTACTGATTATGTGAAAATATTAATAATATTAATCGACACAATAAGATTGTACATCATCTATAATTTTTGAAAACATTAAATTTTTCCTGTAATTAATATTTAAATTAAGAATTTTTAGTTGCAAAAATTATATTTGCTTCTCTATATCTAATATAAATCGAATTATATTTATATTCAATTTTCGAATGACATATCTATATTTATATGGCATAACCATACGATCATCGAAATTTCATTGTGAATTTAGAAGTTGAACGAATCTTTTCAATTATAATTTAATACTTATCAATGCGAGTTTAATAAGAATAATATCCTCGAGTAAATAGAATTTTACAGAGCAAAAGATTTTGATTTACAATTTATAAAATATTTGCTCATTTGCTCATTTAACGAGAGCAAAAGCAAATACTCGATTGGCAATATATTAGTGACAAAATATTATGAAGACGTTTAAGCTCGTAGAATATAAAAAATGAACGAAAATAATTTCACACTGTCCATCAAACTTAAAAACGCTTATAGAACAAGCAGACTCATTATGCTTTATGGATTGTACCTATTGGACTATCGCCAACTGACAAAGACAAATGATTATTATGCGTAAACAATTGTACTGGGAGAGGGTCTTAGTAATGGTTCCCATTAGACTGAATCTTAATTAATCATAAGCTTTCAGGAAGAAAAAAAATAGTTTCAGCATTAAATTCTTCATACTTACAAGTTGTAAATAAGTTAAATTAGTTGAATAGTCAATATATAATGCATTAGGGTTTATCTTCGATATCAATTAATTGCAAAATTAATTTTTATAATAAATTTGAGTTTTATGAAATACATTGGGCTATGATTCGATAATATACATTAATAATAAACAATAAATTATATAATAAAAACATCAAATAAAAATGATAAATAATATAATTAAATTTACTATATACTATATATATATATATATATATATATATATATATATATAAGGCTTGGAATAACTAAATTTTTTTTTATTTTAATATATTGTAATATTTTTATTTTCATACATTAATTTAGTATGTAGAAGTAGTAAAACGATTTAAGGTATGAGAATGAACATATGGAGAAATAAGTGAAAGTTAGTCTAAGATTTATTAAAAAACTCATGTAATGTAATTGAGACATATACTGTAAGATAGAAAAATAAAATGCAAACGGTGTAATGTAAGAATTCATCTCGACATCGACGATTAATATCATTAGCAAATAAGAATATTACTTTTTGAATTATTTTTTTTTCGTGAACGCACATGTATTAAAACAACATACAAACAAGAATAAAATATATCGAACATCGATTAATAACTAACAAAATAATTGTTAGAAAAATAACTGATGTATTATGATGTAATGATAAAACATAGATAATCATATAATAAAATTAAATATTTACAATTGCATGAGATTGCTTTAAAAGTAATGTTTAACTATGCAATATAATTATGAAATTTATTGCTGTTATTAAATTGTTGTTTTTTCCAATTACCAAATTTCCATAACCGAAAAAGGTATACTTACTTACTGATATTGAACATAGAATAATATAATATAAAACACTCATATTAAAATGAAAAAAATACACTAAAATATTTAATACACTTTTTACAAATTCTTGTTTACAAATTGAAAATTCAAATATCCTGCAAAATATAAATACACGACAATAAAATATTAAAGAATATGAATAGTGCAAAGTTAATAACAAATTGATGTGGTATGTCCTTCTATTTGCACGTTGTAACAAACAAACGAACACATTAAAATATTTAGTATTTATTGCAACATAATGTTTCGTAACCTCAAAAATGTTGAATACTATTATTCAAAATTTATACATCTTTAAGCAACAAAAAGGCAATAATGACGTTGTTGAAAATTTATCGGCTATCGCTTCTTCAATAGTATTAATCAAGTAAATTATAAGAGCAAATATTCATTAACTTTTATTCTAGACCACCAATCTTTTGCAATGTCAACACACAATTTATCCCACACGTAAACATCACATAAACAACATGGCAGAATTTATTTCAATCTACCGGAAGGATTACTTGTGGCCCGAACGTAAGGTCACTTTTTCGCGAAACACTCTGGATTGTACAATCGCTGCGCCAGTCGACCTTCAATATTCCGAGACACAGGCTTGTCCGAAAGAAAAAGAAAGTCAGTTGGGTCATTCCCAGCAGTCACCATTAAAAATTCAGCCCTGTCCAACTACAGAGCACAATGACTTCAATGAGAACGAAGCCTATCTCAAAAAGGTGAAATTTCAATAAGCTGAGGGGTTGATTGTCTAATTAAACATACTATTCATTAATATTTAATCCACGAAAATGTATAAGTGAACGGTAAAACAAATTTACATTAATCATAATGTTAATTTTCCTACATGACTTGTATACACTAATTAATGAGAGAATTATTTACTTACTTTGTATTATGTAATTTGTAATCTATTTATGTCAACTTATTTTTATAGAATATTGTCAAGTTTAAGAATTAGAAATAAACATTGAAAAAACATTTTCATTTTTATGCTGATCATAGAAGAAAAGTGGCATTAAATTTTATATTTTAATACTTATTATTATAAATTATTCATACAATTTATATATATATATATATATATATATATATATATATATATCTATATATATATTATCATCATTGATCAAATCTAAATTTGATAAGCACGAACCTAATCTTTCAGGATATTATTTCTTCTTCATTTTATATGTTCCTTTATGATTAAAAGATAAATATATTAAAATATACAAGTTCTTAAATTATTATCTGACAATATCATTTGTAATTATATGAATAACTGTTTAGGTTTAAAAACATAAATATTGGTACGATTACACATCATATAATTAATTTTTTTTCATTACTTATTAAGTTTATTTTTAAAATTTACTAAATTATATATTGTTAGTAAAAAGAATAATTTTTCAGTTATTAGAACAACATCCAAACTTGATTAGTTTGATGCGCAAACGACCTTCATTCGATGCATTAAAAAAATTTAATATGGAAAGACTTAAATCAACTTACCAAGTGGATTTCGATCACGTTGGTGAGCAGAAAATGTCTATACAATTTTCTATAATATTAAAATTAAATCATTGCAATGCTTTTATAATATTATCGTTTAATCATGTAAACTTACAGTTCGATCAAGCTATAAATTAATAAATAAAAAATACTTAGTGTAGAAGAGATTGTTTTAGAGCATTATAAATATATATTTTCACTTTTTTAATTATAAATTAATAGAGGATTTTGATTTTTCTTGAATTATTATAGAATACGTATATTTATTTGTATTTTGTTATATTACAATGGAAATTATAACAAAAAATATTAAAAAAATTTAATTCATTTTACATTACATTACATTACAATAATGTATTTAAGACTTCAATTTTATATTAAACTCGTACTTAATAAACTAAGATTATAATACTGATTAGCAAATGTTAGAAAAATAAACAATAATAACTACTAACGAATATATATATATATATATATATATATATATATATATATATATATATATACATATATACATATACTGCTTGTGAAATCATATACCCCTTGTAAAAATTGTAACTGAAATGGTACTTGATAAATTGGAACTACAATACTTGTACCTAAGGAATTGCTTGACAAATTCTATTCCAGTACTCTGTTTCTCAATAATTTATAAATAATAATACGACTTAATCATAATTTATTTTTCGATCGGTTAAATTAACAATATCATTTCCAATGAATAATACGTATAAATCCATACAATAGGAAAATTCTATAAATTATATTATCAAACCGATTGTTAGTTAAAAAAAAAAATAAATAAATAACTAAATTCACGTAATTATTAATAAATTACATTTAAGCTGTCTATTGTAAATTGTATGTTTGTTGATTGGATTGATGCATGTAGGTATTAACAGTGTTGAGTCTATGCTGAGAAAATAATTTTACTTTTATTTCCATTTTTTATAGTGTAAAGCAGTTTTATTAAAAAAAAAAAAAAAAAAAAAAAAAAAAAAAAAAAAAAAAAAAAAAAATTTATCATTTACAGAAGATCAGTCGATCGATTTGACTGGCTTGCCTATGAAAAATACCGATTGTCCAGTGAATCAGGCAGAATCTCCAATAATAGATTGTCGTCCACGTTTAACTTCTCGCATTGCATTGATGAAAAGCAGAGGATTTCCAGTTTTTCTACCTAAAGAAACCTGCAAAATATCGAGCAAATCATTGAAAAGAAAGTTAGCTAAGGAGGAGGAGGAAAACGAGAATAAGAAAAAGTTCTTGCCAGCCTGGAGTAGCGAATATCGGGACGCCATTAACAAAACTGGTGATAGCATCTTGAAAGAAATGCGACTCAACAAGAAACATAAAATGTTACGAGAGAAGATGAAGCTATTGAGGCCAAAGGAATGCGAGGATGACTAATAATCAATATTTAATCTTATTGAAAATTTTCCATGAAACAATAAATTGACTGGCCTTAAGAATTTATCAATAGCGTACTTTCATTGATCAAATTAAAAAAAAAAATTTTTTTTGAAAAAATTAAAAATTCCCTCAATATTAGCCATGTAAAGACATTGATATTTAAAAAATATCATTTCATATATATAAATAAGCATATAAGATGTAGGCTTTCTTTGTAAATGAAATCGTAAATATTAAAATTTGTTTTATTATTTTTACATTTTGTCAGAATTTATTGATGTTTTAAAAACTTTAAATTGCTAATGATTTATTTATTATAAAATTCAAATTGAATCTTTATAGAAGAGGAGAATTTATATTTAATGATGAGTTTTATTCAATATAATTTACTATATATTCCCGTTATTGGAAAACATAAATTTAGTCGATAAGTACATGAAGAATTAATTACGCGGCTACGTAAACATACTTTTCCAACTGTACTAATTCTAATGACTATTTAGAATTTAATGATAAACTTCTAGAATACATAATTAATTATATGAATTTATATATTATTAAAAAACATTTATATTTAATTCTACTAATTATTATTAAGCATTAATTTTTATTACCCCATTTGTTTTTACATTATTTTTACATTATTTTTACATTATTTTTACACATAAAATTATACGCACTGGTGAAATAATGTTCTACATTTATTTATAGAATCAATTAGGATGAATATATTTTACAGAATGTAAATTTATAAAATCTTAAGTGTTCATTGGAAATGTAAAATAATGCAATAGAAACTGAAGTAATACTAATTGAATTAATATTGCAATGATATTATAGAATTGTGAAGATGATATATCATAAAGTTTATAAGTTTATTTTAATCGTTGGTCAAATTGTTCAATCCCTCTACAAAAAGAAAATTAAATAACATTAAAAGTATATTGTCAAGAATTAATATATCACTAAAAACTTCATTTTTTGTTGTTGTTGTTGTTGTTTTTTTTTTTTTTTTTTTTTTTTTTTTTTTTGTTTTCTAGTAAAATATCTTGATATCAATTTGTTATATGAAGCAGAAAATGTTCAAATTTCATAACAATCTATCGAACTTTTAATAATGATATAACATATGAATAATTATATATTTAAAAATTAATTTAATTCAATTATGCAATATAAGAAATAAAAACTTGAAAAAAAAAACTATAAAAAATAAAAAATGAAACTATTCTGTAGTACCGATTAAAGTCACTTCTCATCTACTTCTCATCTAGACGGAAATAAGTTTACCAATTTATGATTTTAATAAAAATTCATATAACTTTTACTTTTTACTTTTACTTTTCTGATACCAGTTCATTACAATATAGATTCTGATTAGAAACTAAATTCACAGTCGTAATTTAGCAATTTTTTTAATTTGCACTGAAATTATTAACATTTTGTTAATTTGAACTAAATTTATTAACGCTCATTATATTCGAACCGAAAATATTAATATTATAATATATTTTTAATGTTTGAATATTTATAAATTATAGAAACTTGGTCGTTTGTTTTATAAATAGAGTTTTTGTGTTTTATATATTTTTAAAAAATTATCGTATGCTATTATGGAAAATTACGATATAGTAAGTAACAGACAATAATGCTAGGTCTTTCATTTTAATAAATAATGAATTCATATCACCATAATTGCGGCAGATTTAACAAAAGGTAAGAAAACAAATTCTTCATATTATAGTTTTGAGGTTAAAAGAAAATAAAAAAAAAAAGTTTCGAAAAGGATATTTATAATTCACATGCGTAGCATACGTGTATAGTTAATGTATTATAAATATGTAAAATTATAGCTATCGCAATATTGCTTTATGCATATACAAACACAAGCGCGCGCGCGCGTTTGTACATTTAAATCCATTATAAAAATTAGCCTTCCAGTATTTTTAATTGAATTATCTTTAAGTATCGTACATTTGACTATTGGTACTTATTTCTTATTGTTAGTGCACGTTCAGAAAAATATCAGAAATTTTCCAATTTTTACTCTCGATCTTTGTCTAAAGATAAATATCCTGAAGAATCTTTAGTAGCCGAAAATGATTTTATTGAATTGCATTCGCATCCTCAAGTCTGTATTAGTGACAATGAATTTCAAGGAACCGATGAAAAAAGTTCAAACGATTCATTATCCGCCTGCAATATAAGTATTAGCACTGGTAGAAATAGGGTACGCAATTTTTAAGATTAATAATATTACACATTATTGATATTAATTATTGATATTTCTTTAAATATTGCATTTAAACTTTTATATTATTAAATTTAAATAGAATCATTATTATGCATAATTTTAACATAATTACGTTTTCCTAGTCTCAAAATTGTTGTAATATTTCTTCTTTTTTTCTTTTTTTCTTTTTCTAATAAATTTAATTAATTTCCGTAAATTTAATCTTGTTTCGGTACTTCAGCATTTATTATTGTTCGAGTTTTAATTATTTATTTATTCTTATGTAACACACGGGAATCTATACACAACCTTACTTAAATAAGTCATCCAATATTTTTTAATGACAATTATTAAATTAATTTTTATATAAATATTCTATAGGACATAGAGCAAGGCTTTCATGATTATTCTGCAGAAATAAAGAAAAATATGAAGTATTCATCGTATGTATATAACAAAGAAAGAAATAATGGCTATGGAAACTATGAAAATCTATCATTGCCAACAAAATTACAACAAAAATTTCGAAATTTCAATGAAAAGAATAGTACGTTATGAAAATATGTCATAATAATAATAATAATAATAATAATAATAATAATAATAATAATAATAATAATAATAATAATAATAGTAACAATAGTAACAATAATAATAATAATAATAGTAACAATAATAATAACAATAATAATAACAATAATAATAACAATAATAATAACAATAATAATAACAATAATAATAACAATAATAATAACAATAATAATAACAATAATAATAACAATAATAATAACAATAATAATAACAATAATAATAACAATAATAATAACAATAATAATAACAATAATAATAACAATAATAATAACAATAATAATAACAATAATAATAACAATAATAATAACAATAATAATAACAATAATAATAACAATAATAATAACAATAATAATAACAATAATAATAACAATAATAATAACAATAATAATAACAATAATAATAACAATAATAATAACAATAATAATAACAATAATAATAACAATAATAATAACAATAATAATAACAATAATAATAACAATAATAATAACAATAATAATAACAATAATAATAACAATAATAATAACAATAATAATAACAATAATAATAACAATAATAATAACAATAATAATAACAATAATAATAACAATAATAATAACAATAATAATAACAATAATAATAACAATAATAATAACAATAATAATAACAATAATAATAACAATAATAATAACAATAATAATAACAATAATAATAACAATAATAATAACAATAATAATAACAATAATAATAACAATAATAATAACAATAATAATAACAATAATAATAACAATAATAATAACAATAATAATAACAATAATAATAACAATAATAATAACAATAATAATAACAATAATAATAACAATAATAATAACAATAATAATAACAATAATAATAATAATGAAATAAAAAATAAAAAAATAGTCAAACAAAACGTTCTTTATCTGCCCTCTTTATACAATTATAAAATAAAAATAATACAGCATGTAAGCCGGTAAAGAATCTTCAAACAATGGTAGACAGACAGAGGCTTCAGAAACTTAGGGAACTTCAACGTCGTAGAGATGACGTTGAGAAATATTATGCTTATGAAATACAACGACTTATCGATGATAAACACTTGAATATGAAAATTCCAAATTCGACAACTAAAATACCACATGAAAAACAATTTTCACAAAAATTTACAGAAGACCGCACCCCTTCAAATATCCATGATGTAAGTTTATTATCTGCTGCATCTCTTGAATCACTTTATTGTTTATAAGTGGTTATATATTTAGTCATCCAAGATATTTATGTAAAAGTTAAATATATTAGAAAATAAATCCTTGCTCTGCTATTCATGCTCACAATAATATTGTTTCAATTGACATATTACATGTAATTGTACTGTATCTAATGAAAATTTGTTTAGTAACATTTTAAACTTAATTAATAGTCTAAGTAGTAATATTGCATCGTACGTATTGTATTTCAATGTTTCTAATTTCATTAATTTGAATTTTACTTTAATCACTTAAGTAGTTGAGACATATAATATGAAATCGTTCATATAATAAAACTATTTTCATAAATAATTAAATTTATAAATTGTATTGATAAAGATTTTAATACGTAGATATTTTCTTATGTAATTAAACGATTAAGATCGTAATTTACTGTTAACTCGTTTGAAAATCATTGCTATATCAATATCCTATAAGATTTATTGGAACTTCAATTGATATAAAAACTCATAAAATGTAAATAAATTCATATCTTTCAAAAAATACCAAAATCTATTAATCAAAAAATACAGCAATATATGCAATAACTAACAGATATTAGTCTAAAATATAAATAATTTGAATAATTTGAATAATTTGTTAGAATCTAAAATCATGTGGTACAATAACCACAATTACACGGTTGGATTGTGGTTGCATGGAACAAACAACCCGTCAAATTTTCACAACAACAGTCGGTCACGTACAAAAACGCAATTGCGCAAAAGAAAAACAGGTATACATGAAGCTATCCTCGCCAAATACAAGCTTTATTCATTCGACGCCGACGATATCAACATTGGAAAGTAAATCTTTTGACGAATACAGAGATCATCATAAGGCTGATAAATCTTTTGATGGAGAGAAATCATCGCCTCCAGGTGTATACTCAAATTCGTCCACACGTAAGCTTAGTGAGTCATCCGTCTTATCACCGTAAAATCCAGTAGTCGAAATATTTATTTTTCTCGTTATCTCTACCTCTCTCTCTCTCTCTCTCTCTCTCTCTCTATATATATATATATATATATATATATATATATATATATATATATATATATATATATCTATTTATGTCGGTCTCTTTCTCTTTTAATAACTATTTATCTTACATGATTGAGCCATGTCCTCGCAATCCTCTATAAGGCTGTGTATTCGTTAAACACGACTTTACCACATAAATTTTTCAAAGGGATTTCAATTATATTAATGATTCTATTAGTTCAAAACGACTGAATCAAAAGAGGATAATTATTACATTTCAAGCAAATGCTCCTTATATAATGTGCAACAATTTGAAATACTAGTATATTACAAATTTTAATGATTCTTGTAAATAAGAATTCTGTGTATTTATAATTAACAATAAATATATTGCAAGTTTTATAAAAACAAAATAAAAGTGTATTCTTTGAGTATTTAAGATATTGAATAATTAGTTTATAATTAATAAAATAAAAAACTGTTATTTGAAGTATACGAAGCGACTTTTTTTCGTATTCATTACTGTTTTTTTTATAAAAATTTTAAACTAAATTTAGATTTTTGTTTACACGGTAATTAATGAACTGTAAATAAAAGTATCACAAATAAAAAATATAACCTTACATTACTATATATATATATATATATATATATATATATATATATATAAGGTATTTTAATGATAAGAGTCGATAAATAAATTTAGCCATCAAATGAACTATTTCTTATATTTTGCAAAAATACATACAGATGAGTACAAAATTAAATATAAATGATTGAATTACGTTTTATATTAATTCCTTTAAATAATTAATTCTCTAAAATAAAATTTATAATACAAGTTATAACATTTTATGTAAATATTTAAATTTACGTTACAATTCAATAAAAAATATAATTTATTAATTTTTATAAATTTTATGACTCTAATTGTGACAGATTTGTAAGTAAACGAGAAAAATAAATTTATATTTTTCTTTGACGTAAATAAAAAAAAAGAAAATTACATCAACTAGCTTCAGAGCTCAAAAGTCATTGAAATGAAAATTTAGCGTTTGTGAATATATTTTCGATTATTTTCAGATATGTCAAAAATCAAATTTCTTTCAAAATTATTAGTGTATCAGTACAAAATCATTCAAATACAGTTGATTTTTGAAGATTAAAAATATTAAAGAATTGAATTAGAAATATTATGTTAACTTCGAACGAGTCGGTGGCATTAAGTGTGGCATTGGCATTCTTTAACGCCATATGTCATTACATCTTATATAAAATTGTTGTATGCCTTATTCATTTTGTTAATGACTTGATAATCTTCTTTCTCAAGAAATTTACAAATTTCGATCAAGTATGTCACGCAAAAAGACGTTGTTCTGCAGAGTCGGATGATTCGTTTAATGAATACGCAATGACTTGAAATGCTCCATGTATGTAAAGAGTAAACAATTCTGTAAACTACAAATTATTAATTCGAATGAGCAGATTTTAATTGTCAAAAAACTATATAGTAAATGTAAATTATTGTGACCGTATTACAAATGTCTTTACTACTAATATGTTATTTATGTAATAACAGTTATATACAAATTATTCAAAATTCTATTCATGTCTATTACTTATAATTTTTAGAAACATCAAAGAAATTATTATTGTAAAGTAAAAAATTAATGTAAGTGTTAAAATTAAAAAGATAATAACATTTTAAATATAAAAATTCGAAATATGTTTATACATGACTATTAAGAATTAATAAAAGTATATATTGTACTATATACTATAAGCTATAATGTCACACAAATTATGTATAATGTATTAATTTAATGTATTAATAAAGTCGAAATAATATTTATTAATATTTACTTTATAATTATTTAAAATTATGCTTTATTAAATTTTGCTCAAATTTTGAATGGTCGACAATATATTTTAGAGATATTTTTAAATTTATCTTTCAATATCTCTAGAATTCTCATTTAATAATAGCTTCAATTATTTTTTAAGAGTTATTTTTATTTAAGTTAAATTTAATAATACTTATCTTAATAATTTTATAGTCTAAAATTCTTTATTAGAAATATTGTATAGTAATAAATAAGCCGATTATATTATTATATTGTAATTGCAGAGAATAGATTTTTCATCAGTTTGGATATGTTTTATGAATATTATTACATAACGTATGTTATATACTAAAATTTATAAAGTTTTGAAGATTATTAAATTTTTAAAAGCGTTATTAAACTACGAACGATCACAATTGAAAGAGCTTTCGTCGAAGATAACTAATGATTAAAAATTTAAGATGTTAAATATTTAGAAATAAATATTTTCATGAACGTACGTTTTTTCTCTAAAACGTTGCGAAGAAAAATTAATATTGAAATAAATTGAGCTGATAGCATATACAGATAGTTCGTAATAGTATTTTTTCATTTATATTATGTCGAATTTACTCAACTGCAATCAATAGTTATGCAATCAAATTGTAAATGTTATTAAATTTATGCATTTGAATTTGTGGGTTTTGTGGCAAAAACGTCTAAGATCAAATAATTTTTGCAGAAAATTTCACAAATGTAAATTGATAAAATTTAAACAAAAAAAAAAAAAAAAACAAAAAAAAAACAAAAAAACCAAAAAAAAAATCAAATTATCATATGATAATGGAATCAAATGAACATTATAATTGGCCTCGACTGATCTCAATATCTGAAAAATTAAAGAAGCCACCTGTAAGAAAGGGAATTCCTTTAATTTATTATAAACCGAATTCGTTTCCGGACATTTCAGAAAAAGAAAGTTATAAAGAAAATAAACAACTATTTAACAGGTTAGACCTTTTTACTATAAATAAGTGTTTTTTCATAAAAAAATTTTTTTTTTAATTCTGTGTTTAATTCGATTCATTTTAAAAGGGAATTTTAAAAATCTTTAAAAGTGACACAATATTTAAAATGGTGCTTAGTTCATTATCTGAAAATATGATTTATATATAAGTGATTTGTGTTTTCATTAAAATTACTGCATGTATAATTATAAATTATTTTAAATAATTTTATGCACGTTTTAGAAAGGATATCTAAAAATTAACTTATTCATCATATAATATGAAATATATCAAATTCTTAAATATGAAATCTATTTCAAATATATATCATTAGATTCAAATTTTTATTTTGTTTCATACATTATACACTGATTACTATATTTTGTTTAATTTAATATTGTTGATGTATTAAATAAAATGTTACCTTTTATCGGATTTAATGAATAAGCTATAATGAATGAATTTATATTATGAATTTAATAAGGAATATAATAAAAGTCAACTATCACACTTAAATAATATTATTATAATACCTAAATAATATCAAAACACAAAAATTTTTGTAAAAAAAAATATATATATATATATATATATATATATATATATATACATGCACTAAGATACAATATCCTATGACGAATGCAGAACCTCAATGGAATATTTAATAGAAACACGGTATCTTTCTTGCTAAGGAAAAATACAAATGACCTCATACATAGAGAAAATTATTATTAATGCAAACTGTGATAAATGGAGAGTAAAAAAATTCGATAAATTAAAAAATATCAATATTAATTAATAGTTTTTTCACTAGCAACAAAATTTGGTACGTTATGTTTATTTTCTATAAGGTTATCATCACTGTTTAAAAATAATAATAAATCGTGTAATTTATACGCAGCGCATTTATATTTATATAATAGCAAATACCATAGCAAAAGAATGAAACGGGGGGGGGGTATGTGGAGAGCCGAAAATAAATAGGACAACAAAAATATAAATAATAGTAAGTACTTGAACAGTGAGCCCTTTTGGTATGTGATGAGCGACAAAGGAGGAATGTGGTAAGGTAGTTTAGAGCTAGGAGGTTTAGAAGATATTTTTTGCAATGATTCTAAATAATGAAAGAGAAACTCTTGTCGTGGATATTATTTAATATATAATTTAGAAAAACTGTATCGTCATGAAATACAGCCGATCTTCGTTACTAGAAAAAGTTACGAAAGCATTAATATTTCTATTGCTCCCAGTCCAGGATGTGCCATCGAGAATAAAGGGCTTACTTTCTATCCTCAATGACTTTATTTTCACATAAAACAATTGTTTTGCAATCGTGGTAAAACAACGGCTACTTAAAATTAAGATAAATTAAATTCTTTTTTGTTAATGAAATTCTTTAATCAATATATAATTTATATATTATTTATTAAATAATCAATATTTAATTTTATTTAATTCACCAATACCCAACGCAACTTTTTATTATTCATAATAAATGCGATATTGTTTGCTGCGTAATATTATTACGGATCCAATTAAAATTATAAAATTCTCTATAACTTATAATTTATTTTCATTTATGTTATATGCAAATAGAAATTTGAAGATAAAAAAGGAAGAATAAATTTTACGTAAAAATAAAGTAAAAAGCAAACACCAGAAAAATAAAATTATAAAATTCGTCTTCAAATGAAATATGTTTTTCATTTACAATTAATTAATCCTTATAACTTAATGTTTCGTATTAATTAGTCTTATTTAAATTATGAAAAATAAATAATTCTAGTTTTATCAAAATGCATAAAAGAAATGTATATTTCATGTATATTGAAATTAAATTAAGCACATTTTTGAAGAATTATTCTATTGTTAAAATATTATTTTTCGTGGCAAACCTATATTTCTTTTATATTGAGATAAATTAAACAAAATTGTGTTTTATTTACATTATACATAGAATGTAACTGTATTATGTTTTGCACGTAGTGTTGAAATAGATAAAAAAAAGAATGACATTTTAATGAGTAGAAAAAAATTCCTAATAAATAATGAAAATATAAAAAATGAAGGACAAGAGAATAGCAGTAAATTAAAAAGCGTTTATCAAACTGATTTCACACATGGTAAATTATTATTTATTATAAAAATAATTATGATTTAATATTGAATTATCTAGTAAATTAATTTTAGTCGTTAAATATATGTAAAATTTATAGATGATATAGAATATGAACGCCTCATGGATCAATCGCAGAAAAACTTGAAAGACCATAATAATATTGGAAGAAAATGCAGAATAAAGAATGTCTACGTTGATCCTTTTAATTTTATAAAGAAAATAGAAAAAAAAAAATTTTTCTGACAAGTATAGTTTTATTCTTATAAATTTTTTATATCACTTATGTTGATATGATTTTTAAAACAAATAAATAATATTTATTTATTATTATAGTCAATAAAAATTAAAATTTTTTTTTTAATTTTTATTTATTTCTTTTATGTAAGAGATTCTTTTTAAAATTATATAATATTTTAATTTACTGTTTCGATAAATATTTTTTAAATTTTACAATAAATAATGAAGGAAAAAGTAAATTTTCAATTAAATAATAAATAATACTTAATCAATCAAATCCGCTAAAATATTATTTATATAACAATGTATATTACAATATCTCTTTGACAGAATTCTATTACAATTCATTATTTTTATGCATTTTTTAAAGTAATTTCCATTATGTGGTACCGTTTTCACATACTTTCATCGCATGAATATTTCAATTCTAAATCTTAATGATGAGCTGTTTTAACATGTCTATTCATCTTCACCAGAGAAATAAAATTCTAAAGAAATTCACATTAAAATGAAAAATGCTTATTATCTTTTATTAATATTACTCTTACATATCTAACGTAAAAGAAATATATATTTTTAAATTATATTTTAAACAATAAAACTATCACAAATTGTTTAAATTTTTAACAGAAAAAGTGCTTTTAAATGAGTAATTAGACCATACTTTTAGATCATTATAATTAATATGATTAATGAAAGTTAATGTTAAATTATGATAATAAAGTTAAAAGTCGTGATAATTACATGATTCATAATAGCAGTAGATATATGAAATTAGTGATTATTATATCGTATTTTAATATATTATATTTATATACGTAGAGGAAGGTAAAAGAATATGTTGACGACGTTGTATGACGGTACTTCAATCCCTTTCGTCCGCTCTCAACGACTTCTATTTAGTTTAAATCACTTTCTTATTAGACGACTATCATAAACAAACTTTTAAAATGATTAGTAATGTTTTCAATAATATTTTAAAGATGATTTAATCAATCATTCAATTAGTAGCCTAAAAAGTACAAGATTTAGGGTTAAGAATTAAAGTAAATTAAAATTTTCTACTAACAAAACGTTATATTAAATTCCTATAATTCAATTTTTGCTCAATTTTTTTTTCTATGAAATAATTAAGATATATCCGAAATCAAAAGTTAAAAACATCTATAAAACCAACATTCGTAAAAAAAAATATTATGTTTGTATATATATATATATATATATATATATTAGTTATATATATATATATATATTATATATATATATATATATATTATTAAATTAATGTTTATATATTGCTTGTATTATTTATTATTCATGTAATACAATTGCTTCAAATTTTTAAAATCATTGCATTAATAACTTTTAAATATCGCGGTATTTACCGTTGTATTCCAGCTCCAGCATGGTGATTATAAACAAAAAATAAATATAAAATTATTTTCTTTATTTTATAATAATTAGTAATTTGAATAATAATACAAGTATTTACAATGAAACTCCACAAGATAAATTTATTTATTTAAAAACTTTATTAAAAAATTATACTTATATTAACACGGAGTATTTATTGATTAATTAAATAATTTTTTTTCGATGATTACGATAAAAGCAATTAAAATTTTTAAATGCATTCAATGGAGCAATTAGAAATAAACTGTTGAAAAATTTGTTTTTAAAAATTTTTTTTTAAAAAAAAAAAAAAAAAAAAAAAAAATTTATGGCCGTCATATTTTTAATACCTTTGATTTTAATTGATTATTTATATAATTAACATTTAATTGTAGTTATTAATAGATATTAATAAATTGTATGAAAAAAATAGCTTATTTGAAATACAACGAGCAATAATTATTAAATATTGACTAAAAGAACACTTATAATTCATATAGATATATTCATATGTATATAATAAATGTGGTAATAATTTGTTATGATTACTTATGATGAGTCACTGTATATATTAAATTAAATTTTTTAGACTTATAAATTTTATATATAGTTACAATGAAGTTATTAGAAAAAGTTCTCTCTTTTCTACAATATTGGTATTTCAGATATACATTAGTAACGGAACTGTATATGGTTGAAAAATGGGAAAGACACTTTATAAGTATCCTTTACATAAAAGTTATAACTTGATTATTATTATCCTTATATTTGTAATAAAATATCTTGATTATCTTTATCATTACATTTATAATGAAATATTATTGATGCTCTAATATAATAACATAATAAGAATAAAATAAATATTTTATAACAATTTGTATAATAGAAATGAAAGTAATTGAAATCAATTTATTAATTAAAGATATAAATAATTATTATAAATACTATACCATTTTTGTAATTTTTTTTTTTTTTTTATTATATTATTATATTATCTAAGGAATGAAATACTGCAATTTTTAATAAAAAACATTGTTGTTACGTGTCTAAAAAAAAGAGTAGACTATATATTTTCATTAGAAATTATGAAATTTTATGATTTTACACAATTAGTACAAAAATTTGGCTTAAGCATCGTGCTATATTATATTGTAAAAATTGAAATAAACCAATTTTGTTTTAAGTAAAATTATTGTGTCGAGAGAAATTTCATTAAAACAATTACAAATTCAATTAAATTTAATAAATTTATTCAATCGATTCGTCCTAACTAGTATATACTTCTAAAAATTTTCATTTTCAAATGCTATTTAGACAATAGAGGTTTCGAATAAAGTTTTTCTTTGTGTCAAATTTTGATAATTATTAGAAATGAATGAGGTTATATTGTGAAGTTGTCATACTTGAGTTTTCATCATGCAATCATGATTCCTTAATATTTGACAGATATATTTCTTGTGTCTCTTTTTTGTTTACTGTTCTACTTCAATCATAAGATTTTATTACCAGCAACATCATTAGTATTAAGCGCAGGTTAATATAGATTTCATGAAATGTTTTATTTGGAAATATGTTCAAGAGTTTTTAAGCTAAAGAAGAATTAATAAATATGAATATTAAAAGAAAAACATAAGAAAAAATGCCAACTTATTAGAAATATAACTAAAATTATTTTAAGATAATAAAATGATATTGTCTTGATTATTTCATTATATTTATTAATAATACCTTTTTAATATATTGAAATTTTACTAATCTAATTAGAAGTAGAATATTAATTAGAATATTAATTAAATGCACATATATTTTGTTAAGATTTTAAATTTTTTATTCATACATCTTGTTTCTATATACATTAAATATTTAAATATATTATAATATGGTATAAATATTATATTACAATTTAGATGAATAATTATTGAATTTACACAATTTACCAAATATTAAATATTAATGTAAAAACTATTTCTCAATAATAGACAGTATGTCAAAGTACAGTAGTTTTGTTCTCGTATTATAATTTTAACAAATAAAAATAACTCTGTCAACTTTAAAAACAAATGATAAGTATAATTTAAATAAAAATGAATATAATGCCAAAAGCCAGACGATCAATTACTTTGAATAAATGGCATATATTTCATATTAACAATACATCATTTATTTTTATTGTTTAATAAAAACAGTTCAATAATTAAAATAATTATAATTGTGAATAAGCAATATGAAAAAACATACTGAGATAAAATGTTAATAAAGAATAATATAATTACTGTTCATGTTATTCAAATATCTATAGAATTATTCAGTTATAATTAATTATATTTCATACAATGATTTTCCTAATTATTGTAAACTCATTTGTTTCCTGAAATTGTAGAAATGTTCTATATATATTGTAACTATTTTTAATAACTTTTGTTAAAAAATAAAATTTTAAACCATTTTTCAAAAATATCACAATAAATTAATTAATAAATCTTGTAACAAATTGTATCGCTATGCTATTGAAACATTAAAAGTAAATGTTCCTTTTTTTACTATTACACACTTGTCAGTTTTTATTTTTTCATAAATTCTAAGTAATTATTTTTTTTTTTATTTATTTATAATTTTCATTGAATATGTATTATGAATTTATAGTTCTCTTTAATACCAGCTATTGTTATTAACAATTTATTAAAAGTCAAATTACAGTAAAATTAATAAATACAAATATTACATAACGCTTTAAATATAAAAAAAAAAAAAAAAAAAAAAAAAAAAAAAAACTATATACCAGATAAAAAAAACGTACTGTGATTAGAAATATAACTATGTATGCTCTATTCGATTATTCTGAACTTTAATAAAGGGTACTAAATATAATAAAATTACAAAATAGAGATTATGTCTGATTATATTTACTCACAATAATACCTTTTTACCACATCAGTCCTTGATCAAAGTAATTCTAGTACTTTTAATTACTTTCACTTACAGTATTTTTAATTACAATTCGCAATTTTTTATTTATCAACCTTCTTATTCCCTCACATTCCCAACAGTTAAATATATTACTAAAATTAGAATATGTTATGAATAAATATTTAATCTTTGTTTACATTATGCATTTATATTAAACGATTAACCATTAACTGATATTAATAACAATTTTTAATCGTCCTAATATACATTCTCAACTTTATTTAATTTAGTTGCCAGTTTTTATTTTGTCGGCTAATCTCTGGATAAAAAACTAAACAGTCGATTAGTTTTTCTTTTTCATTTTGTTCTTTATTAAAACTAATTTTTTCAAAGAGAATAATGAACTAACGTTCGGTATAGTACACATTTTCATCCTTATCCAACCAACTATTTTTGAAGCATAAATTTTCAAATATTCATGGTACTCAGAAAACTATATTGAAAAATGATGCTTCAATACTGTTTCATTATAAAAATGAAAGTCGTATTCAAATGTTCATTGCACTAAATTTGATGAGATAAGGAATCATTACCAGTACGACTCTTTATCAACAAGCGATTTCTCACTGGTAATATTTTACTATGCACATCTATAAATTTGAGCTCTTTCGCATTGTTTCTTCATCTTTTTTTTTTTTTTAATTTTCTCAATATTGTTTTTTTCTTTTCTTAAGGAATACTATAGTGGAAGAATTGTTTCGTTGATCGATCAAAAATATTATATACAATCAGCTCAAAAATATATTTATTCTATACACTAAAGAATTTATGAGATGAATTTTATAAATTGATCGATAGTCTGTATTGAAACTAATTAGATTTATATTTAATGACTGATCCTCTAAAAAATTATAATTTACTCTCTATATATATAGATATTTCAACTTTATAATTAACATTAAAGAGATTAATAATTTCTTTGCTTTGAAATATTATTGCCTTTATTTATTAGTTTATGTTATTTATTTACTTTCTTATTTGCATTAGACTGTTTTAAAAATCTTTAATATACAGTGTTTTTCATTAATAAATGAATTGAATTTTGTTTTAAAAATAAAACATAAATTCAAACATTGACTAAATAACAATTAATGTTTCTTTTATTATATATATAATTACATTTTTAAGAACCAGGCACTGACAATTAATTTTCACTTTCGCATGACGCAAGTGTATAAAATTTAACATTAAAATAGAAGAGCAATTAAAAAGTAATTAAATATATGATTAGCTGATTGTAAAAAATATTTGGATTCAACCATACATTATCTCTCAGCCTTAATCGAGATTTAGTACTAATACTTGATAAATTGCTACTTGACGTTTGAAGTTGTTTATACGATTTTCTAAGTCGCTCATTCGCTAACCTCAAATCGACAATTTGCAAAAATTAATTAAACGCATTTGTCTCGCATAATATATTTACAGAATCGACATTTACAGGGTATATAGTTAATCAGTGTCAGAAATTTTTTTTTTCTTGATCTGTCAAAAAATGTCAATGCGTTTAAATACCAAGACTTTTATATTTTGTGATTACCTTTATCTATTTATGATTTTTCATTTTAATACACAAACACACACACACACACACACACACACACACACATATATATATATATATATATATATATATATATATATATATATATATATATATATATCAAGTTTATTTAAAATGAAATTAATATTATAAAATTATCTAAACTATTTTCGTAAATAAATTAATTGTAATTAAAAGATTAATATGATATTACAACATGTATATTACAACATTAAAAATAAAAACATATGCATAGAGTTTAATAAATAAATTCTTATACAATTAATATTATATTATCGGTATATTCTAGATTTAATAATGGATTTTTATAATACAAATATGTATTAAAATTTTCGAAAAAATTTTCCAAATAATTATACGATGAAACTTAATCGTCTAATTAAAATTTGCTAGAAAAATCATAAACAGCATAATTTTATTTAAAAAAATATTAACAGATAATTGATCTTAGTAACAAACAACAAAACAGATTTTTAAACAGATCAATTTTTTTTTTTTTTTATTGTTGACATTGCAACAACTTGACGAGCCACTAATCATTTATGCCCGATGATCATTCATAATAAAAGTAGGCACGATAGGAATTGCATAATTATGAACCACATTAGTTGAACAACATTGATGAATTTTTTAAAGAAAAATGTTTCACTGGTTCTTTCGCGCTTTGGAATTTCATTTTTACCAATAGTCGGTTATAATCCTGTATTCTTAAAACTGCTACTATTTATTTAGATTATTTTCTAAATATTGCTATTTTACTTAAGTGACGCAAGTACAAAATAAATATAAGAACAGCTTCACATTATTATCAATAAGAAGTCGCCTACGAAAGTTTATAATCGAACAAATGTCGTATGACTAGCGAAGTGAGACTTGTTATGGATAATAAATGTGTTATTAAATTTTCTTACATTATCGTAATGTATGTAACAAAATGAGTAACGGATAATACTAAAATTCATATCAGAAGAATTATTCAAAGAAAAGAGGTACATTAATTTTTCGTTACATTGGCAATACATTATTTTCATTTTCCTTTTGACTTAAAGAAAATAACCGTTCATCTTGGAGAAATGAGATAAAACCAAAAAAAAAAAACAAAAAAAAAACAAAAAAAAAACAAAAGAAAAGAAAAAAGATACATGATATGTCTTTTGACGCCGTTTTAACTAATCACACATTCGCTTCCAATAATACATTCTGGAAATTCACTGTATAATTGAGAAAAAATTTACAGTCTTATTTTTTGTCTTTATACAATTTTTTTTCTCTCAAAATATTCAGACACGATGACACACGTCCTGTCATTTACATTAGAAAGTAACACTTATCGGTCAATATGATACATTAAAATTTCAAAGCTAAATACTATCACATTTCGATATCAATCACCCTAATAGTTTGATCTCGCATTAGACGCTAATGTATTTACGTAACATTCAATAATTTTATATTCATTCCAAATATTCACAATCCTTATCTCCATTGCTATAGAGAAAATATCTATTGTTACCGTATAGCTTGTGACAAATGGCGAGTTTGTTGTTGTTGTTGTTCTTTAAGAAGATCGTTGCATGATAACTTAAGCTCTACACATTGATTAACGTTTTGAAAAAATTTTCAAATTCTTTATGAAGAAACGAGCAAAAGCCTATCAAATATCAGATAGATTTTACTCAGTGAAAGAGTCCCGGTTTTTAACGGAAATACGAATTTATTCGTACTTAGAAGAGGCATGCGATGAAAACTTATTCTACTATTCGTAATTAGAGGCCGTTGCGAAATAATTCAATTTCAAATACTCGACAACACTCGTGATAATCTCAAATTGTTAAAAAGAAAAAGTAAGTAAGTAAGTGGCTTGTTTTCAATATCATATGGCGATTGTCAGCGATAAGAAAAAAACGACTTTTCCCTGAATTGCTTCAATTTGATGGACAAACTAACTTGGCGCGATTATGCCTTAGCAGGAAGTTATCAATACGACATTTTAGACTGCGTAGATTTTTAGTTAAGCTAGAATTGAAATTTTTCTGTATCAAAGTAGTTAATGCTTTAATGCTAGTTGTAGTTGTCGTGACCGAGATCATTAAAATGGCTAATGTGAGCGCAATGT